TCTCTGAGCGCGTATACCAAATATCCCACATACACCGTTGCTTGTCGAAAACTTGGGAAATGGGTTTGTGAAGCCTTCAAAACCCGACATGTGGTGTCGATGTGTTTGAAAATAAAATGAATTGTGAAAACTCGCGATGCGGGGGTTGTGCCTATGTGGCACTGTCCCGTATTCGCATATAAGGACCGATTCCTGTGGGAAACTCATCGAACATAATCAAAGTGCAACCACAAGGTGGAATGGGACACCCTGGCTAAGTAGCTAGTCGGTTCAGGGAAACCTCGCATGCCAATAGTTGGGAACGCCGGGGCGGGGTCGGTTGGAGCCAAACCGGGTTCCTGGTAAGGCAAGAACGCGAAGCTTGCCAGATTACCGATCGAGGTGGTTGGAGTTTGATTTGTGCACGCCTAAAATGGCCTATGTTTATGTGAGGATTTGATCCTTCTATGTGGCATGAGGTAACCCTGGGTCGGCTTGGGAAATGCTTTGTCGCGAACCTCTGACACCGGCCAGTGTCTGGAGTGAGTTCGTGTCTTGTGGGTAAAGTGTACCCCTCTGCAGAGGTTAACTAACTGTTCGAACAGCCGTGCCCACGGTCATGGGCGGATGTGAGGTGGTTCCCGTTGCGTAGATTTGTTTGCCTGTGCTTTGTAAAAAGTTGTTGTGGTGTGGGAATCGTAACCAGAATCAGCCTATGTGGCAGATGGATGACCTGAGTGATCAGAAACGAATCTGTGTGATTCGGGATGTCTGCGGGCATCATAGACTAGGCTTCCCGAGTGGAAGCAGATTGTTGTGCTGCTGGGCAGCTGGACTCTGGGAGTCCGAGAAAATGAAAAAGGCTCTGGGAGCCGATTAATCAAGTGGAATGGCTCTGGGAGCCGAGAAGTAATGATCTGACCCGGGAGGTCGGTACATTACTAAATGAGCTGTTGAAAAGCATCTCTTAAAGTCGAATCGAGACGCAAGTCTCTTTTCGCCCAAACTTAGAAAGAAATAAATCACTTAGTGATTTCAAAATATCTTCAAATAAAAGATTTGCAAAACAACCTTGCCTCTCTTCCAAGCTTGCATTAAACACCTAAGTTCCCGTGACTTGCTGAGTACGAAAGTACTCACCCTTGCTCTACATAAATATATATAGTTCCTCCGCCCTGAAGAGAAGATAAAGTGAAGTGAAGATTAGGGTTTCGTCCTGGTTCCCAGCCGTCGCCTGTGGTGTCGGGTGTTAGACCGTTGGTTCCGCTGCTGCTGCTGTTGTTGGTGTTCGCCTTGTCCGTGTCGTCGGTTGCATTCTCGGGCTGTCTGAGCTGCAACCTAAGTTAAGGTAAATAAGTCCTCTATTTATTTTAAGGATTTGCAATGATTCATATTTGTCACCGTGGGTACCAGCACTATGTCCTGGGACTAGTACGAGATCGCGGTTTCGTAGGAAGCGGTTCGCGCCGTTTTTCCTACGACACGCTCCTATCAGGTGCCGTTGTGCGGCGGTGTCGGATTGGGGTGTGACAAGAGAGGTGTAACATCCCGGCCTAGGGCTTAATAGGATTAATAGAATACTCATATCAACAAGTTGCAACTTCTTTTCCGGAAGCCAATCTCCAAAGAACTTCAAGGTTAAGCGTGCTTGGCCTGGAGCAATTTGGGATGGGTGACCGACCGGGAAATTCTTCCCGGGTACACACGAGTGAGGACAAAGTGTGCAGAAAATACGTCTGTGAGGGCAGTCTATGACCTATGAAAGCTATCAGATATAAGCGGGCCCGGCCTGGGGGAAGGCGGGACGTTACAAAATGGTATCAGAGCCGACTCTCGTGAAAGTCTATGACCTATGAAAGCTATCAGATATAAGCGGGCCCGGCCTGGGGGAAGGCGGGACGTTACAAAATGGTATCAGAGCCGACTCTCGCGGTTTCACGGGCGCGTAGAAAAGACATGTGTGGCTCGCGGTTTCACGGGCGCGTAGAAAAGACATGTGTTGGTCTGTGAGGGCAGTCTATGACCTATGAAAGCTATCAGATATAAGCGGGCCCGGCCTGGGGGAAGGCGGGACGTTACAAAAACTCATATCAACAAGTTGCAACTTCTTTTCCGGAAGCGAACTTCAGGGTTAAGCGTGCTTGGCCTGGAGCAATTTGGGATGGGTGACCGACCGGGAAATTCTTCCCGGGTGCACACGAGTGAGGACAAAGTGTGCAGAAAAGCATGTGTTGGTCTGTGAGGGCAGTCTATGACCTATGAAAGCTATCAGATGTAAGCGGGCTGTGAGGGCTGTCTATGACCTATGAAAGCTATCAGATGTAAGCGGGCCCGGCCTGGGGGAAGGCGTGTCCGTGGTGGTCAGATATCATGCGGGATACTAAGGCTAGAGTTGATGCACGTGGTTGGTGAAGATTTCGATCCTACACAATTAACCAGATGCATTTCGATATAATTAACCCCCCTCCCACCTAACCACGCACATCCAAATTCGAATCAAGAAATGCGTGAAAAACCAATAATTGGTAGTACTACCAAACACTTGGGAGTGGATTTTGATCCCTCGAGAGAATGTCCCTTCGTTGTTTACATGTCACTCAAATGGTTATAAAAAAATTGAGAAAATGTATTAATATGTGACATATCATTTCACAAACATGAAAATTCAAATTCAACTTCTGCATCTCGCAACCAAAAAAACAAATTTAACTGTAATATATGTTAACTAGCTCTAGCTTATTTTTTTTTTTCATTGCGAGATGTAGAAGTTAATTTGAACTTGAATGTTTTTGGAGTGATATATCACATGTTAATACATCTTTTCAATTTTTTTCATAATTATTTGAGCATGCAAACAATGAGGGAATATTCCCTCGAGGGATCAAAATAATTTCCCCCAAACACTCCAGAATGCATTGTGCAAGAAATAAAAGAATTGATCTCACCCACAAGTTGGACTGCTAGAGTACATGCAGTACATAATCAAAACAGCCCGATGCATTGGCCCATCAGTTGAGTGGTCACTGTGGGCCTCGGCCTGCCGCCTGATCCAGCTACTTTTTAATCGTCTTCATCGACGGGGGTGCAGGCTGTGCAGCCCAAACCCGGCCAGATTGGATAAATGTATTTCGACTAAGGAGATTAAATATATGTATTTCCAACTAAGCGAAAATTAGAGGAGTTTTATGGTACACTATACTTGTAATATATACTTGCACTATAAATAATCTAACGGTGTGGGTTCATCCAATCTTCTTTTTACAGTATAAATTGTGAAGGGTATATTTGTCTTTCCATATTTTTTACGGGGGATATTTTTGTATTTTCGCGTTCTATTCTTTAGTCAGATCCGGATAGTGAGAAAGGGACTCGTCCCATGCGCTACTGCCGCCGGCGACAGCCACCGCGTCGCGCCCCAGCCGGCTCGCCGCTGACAGCCACCATGATCAAGCGCCGCCACACTCGCATGCTATCACGTATGGGGAGAGAGGAAGGGGAAGCAGCACAGAGCACTGGAGCAGCAACATCAGCTCTGCAGTTGCTGTGTGTCTCTGAGATAGTTGAACGAGTGTTGGTGATTCTTCAGAGTTCAGGCTAGCGTGCAAGATGGAGGTAGATGTGTGTCGTTAATGGCTTACGGCATCTGAACTACGATGTACTGAATACTGTTTCAATTGGAAGGAATCGCTCTGCCTCCACGCGCGCTCGTCCGTCGACAATCGATTCGCCGCCACGCACAATGTATTCCGAAGAAGCGCTGCTGCTCTAGCTGAACGTACTACGAGATCCAGAACTAATACCAACTAAACAACCCGTCCGAGATTAACTCCGGGTGCAAATAAATCTCAAATTCAAATTACTAAACAGACCTTTCTATATTTTTCACAAATACCAAACTTACCCTTCTATATACTGCAATAATATAATTACAGTAGAATATACCGTAAAGAGCAAATCTACGGTCCTTTAGGAGGTAAAGGTACCAAAAATTTAGTGTAAAATTTGGTATCTCATAGTACCTAGGTACTAAGAGGTACTAACTTTATAATAGAAAAAGTGATACCTCATGGTACCTCCTCAAGAACAGTAAAATTGCTTTACCGTAAAAGTTTTCGAAAATTAAGGTGCATTTTGGTTCCCTTGATGAATATGATTTGTATCCCTCAAAAGCACCTACAACCGGGTTTAAAGCAGTCTCCCTCAACCATCAATCAATAGTACTAGTACGAAAAGTTTATCTAGGTCTTTATTGGATCTTGGATGACAAGACAAATCAAGAGACTAATAAATTTATTGAAGATAAGTGTAAGCCTAGTTTCCATCATGTGTTGAAAGATGTAAGTATATATACCCTCATAAACAAATGCAAGCAACAAAGGACACTCGAAGGAGTTTAACTTTTTTTTTCTTTTGAACTTGAGTCTTAGGAAAGCCGTAGAATTAAAAGAGGTTTATGTCTACTCCATCCGTCCCATAAAAAACCAATCTAGTACTAGATGTGACATATCCTAGTACGTATGTCCAGATTCGTAGTACTATAATATATCACATTTAGTATTAGGTTGATTTTTTAGGAATGGATAGAGTAAGTATCATGTTGGTGTCTAGGTGCTCAATGTGCATTTTTTGTCCTTAGAGAGAGACACATGTCACCACACTTATATGGGAAAATGAGCTCAGAGTTAAAAGGACGGGTTACCAAAGACTCTAGTACCGTATGTTAGGCGGCGCATGCCTACCAGAGACTTCAGTACTTGTAACCAGAGACTCTGGTCTTCTATTTGGTTTGCTTCCAAGGCTCTGTTTGTAAATTTTAAAATTTTGAGAAGCAGCTGGTGAGAAGCTAGCTGGTAAGAATTTGGAGAAACTGGAAAACCCAGTTTCTAGCTTCTAGTCCATTTTCTAGATTCTACAACTACAGCTTTTTAGAATCTGAGTGAAAATATATACTGTTTAGGGGAGCTTCTGGCAGCTGCAGCTTCTATAAGAATCTTCAACTGCTCTCCCAAACAGACCCCAAATGTCACCAAATACTCCGATTCAGAAGAACCTCCAGTGTTCAAATATATACATGTATGTGCTTGTTTAAACTATGATCATTTTGGAGCCACGTACACATTGAAAAGAAAAGTCACAATGAATGTTCAAATAATTCCGACGGATATATATTAGCTGCTATGAAATCTGCAAGCTAAGGGCAAATAAGGAAAAAATAATGCATATACATACACTGCTAAGGCAATGAAATGTGTGTACATGCATATAGATCGATGCAGTAGCAAGCTAGCAATAAGTAAGCAAAGTGCAGCTTAATTAATTATTGGCTAGGTACATGCATATTGTGGCGATGAAAAATGCATAGTGGATCGAGTATAATGCATTATAGCAGTGGTGATTTGATATATATAGTAGGAGTAGGGCGGGTATGTAGGTCAGGTGGATCTATCTATCGGGTTCGAAAGCGGTGCAGTCCAATCTTGCGGCCTGTGCTCCTGACGTCCTCCATGATCTGCTTCCTGTACTCGCCGAAGGTGAAGCTCCGGTAATGGGCATCGTCGTCGTGGACATGGCTGCTGCTTGGGATGATGAGCGTGTGGTAGGAGGGGCAGAGGAAGAAGGCCATGGAGAAGCGCTCCAGCGTGGCGTTGGCCATCACCCTGTGCTCCACGCTCTTGTACACATCGTTGCTCCACGCCTGCAGGAGGTCGCCGACGTTGACGATGAGGGTGCTGGGGCTGGGCTTCACGGCCACCCACCTGCCGCCCTTGAGCAGCTGGAGGCCGCCGACGGTGTCCTGCTGCTGGTGCACGATGGTGAGCAAGTCGCTGTCCGTGTGCGGGCACAGCCCGAAGCCCCCCATGGCCATGGCGCACGGTGGGTACCGGTTCAGCCGCAGGAAGCACGTCTCCTCCCGCGTCGTCACCATCGTCTCGCCCTCGCCGGCGCCCGGCAGCCCTCTCATCAGGATCTCTGCCAGCTTCTGCGCCAGCTCGTACATCGCCCTCGACACCTCCTCGATCACCGCCCTGGCCCTGATGCTCGTGCTGGGCCTGGGCGTCGTCATTGGGATGTGATAGGCCTCCGACCACGACAGCTGCTCCAGGCACTTGGCCGTCGGCGTTCCCCACCGGTAGCTCTCCGGCGAGAAGCCGAGCAGCCTCTCGGTCACCTTCTCCTGGAAGGGCCGCCGGAACACGGCCACCTGTGCGTCGTGCAGCTCGCGCAGCAGCGCCTGCGGCACGCCGTGGTTGGTCACCTGGAAGAAGCCCCATTCCGACGCCGCACGCACCATGTCTGCGCGGCACACCTGCTCCGCCTCCATGAGCCCCGCGAGGTCGATCACAGGGAGCTCGCACTCGTCGACGTCGATGGCGCCCATGTCCATGTCCAGGCGGTGCTGCTCCACGAACAGGTGCTTGTACGTGCTCATCAACGGCGGGTTCGAGTTGGAGTCGTAGTCGTGCTCCTCCATTAATTATTAACTCCGCCCTGCCTGCATGCGCCTTAATCAATTCCCACGTCTTGTGCTGGGTTACCAAAAGAAATTACTATTATTCCTCATTTCTGACAAAATTAATTAAACTGCTTAGAAAAATGCATGCGGCGAACTTGCATGAATCCATATGATGTTAATTCTCTTGTTCTTTGTATCATCCTATACGTCAAAATTAAATAAACATGATGTGTCGTATACGTCAAAATAAATATACAACTAATTAATCGGAGCAAAATAAGTTTCGATGGAATTTGACACCGCTGAATAGTTTAATGTGAGAACTCACTACGTGGCACTAGTTCATAGTTCGCTTTAGCTAGTTATGGCAGCTGCTGCTTAGCACCAACAATACCATTAGTCTTCTACTAGCTTGCAGCTTCCACTGTTCCTCTAGAGAAGCTGCAGCAGTCTAAATTAAAGGTGCCACATAAGGTTAAGATTTCTCTTTGCTACCTTCGTCGTGGAGTTGTGCTAACCAACAACAATCTATGTAAACGTAGTTGGCAAGGCAATCAAAATTATTGCTTTTATCACAACAAAAAGATAATTAAACACATGTTCTTTGATTGCTGTTTTGCTAACTTAGTCTAGTCTATCATATATGTCGCATCAAGAATTACTCCACAACATATATAGTATTTTATACAAGTTTACTTGTTGGCTTTGGAGAGTTCAAAAAAATTTGCAACCATATGTTCCGTTAGGAACGACTGCTGTTTTTGTCCCTTTAGTCATGCAAAAATGATATTGGTTTTTACAGAAAATTATTTTTTCTCTTTTGTATGTTGTTTACTTAATTATCCATTAGTTGCACAATTGAGTTATACTTAAAAAATTGGGTTCGTGGAATTTGGTTATTGTGGGGTGTCTATGCTTAGACTAAGCGGCCAAGGAAATTCTTTTACTCAAAAATATGGGTGGCGATCTAATCTTAGAAGTGATGGTTCGTAATACTTCATCTGCTTCCTTTTCTTGTAAACTTTTGGATGTGTGTGTGTTTTGGTTGTGTGCATCATAGTTATATAGTTATATAGAGGTCATAAGTGTGTTAGTGGTTTTGTATCATCTTGATATAATTAGCTGAGTTAAATAAAAACTTCTATTATTTTCTAAAGAAAATGTAGGAATATACAATAATCACTACCAGAATATGTGAATATCCCAAGTGTGTTTTCATAGGCATAACGTCACAAGAACAAGACGATCGTTGTAGGCGAACGCTCCCAGAATCAACGGCGATTCTTTTGTCTGATCGATACTGCTTTCAAATAAAATTACACCTGCATATACTTTCCAAAATTGTTTTGTCTGATCATCGATCAGGTCATGCAGCTGCTCCCAAGCAGACGACTACTTGCATTGTTACATGCGTTAACTAGTCCTAGTTTTTTTGGACTTTTCGCCGATCTATACTAGTGATCAATAATACCTTGTCATGCGTTCATGTGATCACGTACGATCGAATATAATACACATTTAATTACCAACTTATATATATCTACATTGAGATTCACCAAGCATATGCATGCATATGGGATACTACCATCACCAATGTAGTATATATTCACATCGATCTTGGCTCAATATATCAATAATTCTCTTGTCTTGTCGTCGTCAGGAAACGTGCATATATATATATAGTACTCATGCATCAAACCAATCTATGAACATCAATATATATTAATATTATCCTAAGCCTGTAAGAGCTAGTAACACATCCATATCCAACAGAAGACATTATTAGGCGTAACATGCTAGGGATCCCACAATTTACTTCAAATAAGGGTAAACGATGTACTTGCATTTCTGGCCATTATCAGATCGATGATCTTCGCTTAGCTAGAGCACTTGAAATAACACAAGCGCCAGCATATATATTAATTACAATTAATCATATGAATAGTTACTCTTTTAATTAAAACCAGCACAGTTGCATGCTAACTGAAAATTGATCGACCATATGCTAATGTATCCCCTAGCTTCTCTCTACTTTCGTTAACAACTACTAACCAAAGTCTAATTTCGATATAGCTATCTTAGCTTTATCAGCTTTTATATGAAACAAATTAAGACTAGCTATATATGTGTGTAATATTAAGCTTTTTACAAATATTTTTTATAAGCAACTCAGCATTGATATCCCAGGACAAAATTATTGGCATCTGCATAAGGCCGAACATATATATATATATATATATATGTATATATATATATATGTATATATATATATATATGTATATATGTATATATATATATATACGTACATATATATACATATATATGTATATATACATATATATACATATATACATATATATATGTATACATATGTACATATATGTATATATATATACATATGTACATATATGTATATATATATGTATATGTATATATATATATATATATATACACCCTTCGTCCTTTGACAAAGAAAAATTGTCGATCAAAAGTCTAATGCATGTACGTCTTGTTCAATTTTGCAACTCAAACAAAAAAGTTGTGAACTCATAAAACAAATTAAATATTCTAGCAAAAAAAAACAAAGTGGTCAATTTTTTTAAAAAAAATTCTCCTAAGGAAGCACAAACACTATATCAAAAAAAAATGGAATTCTGGACCTATATATAAATTAATTAACCTAGGAACAATGCTTGTTTCAATGTCATCTTTTATTTCAGAAAAAATAAATAATTATTGTGATTTAATTAAGTTCCAAAAACTATAGATCCCAAAAAAAACTCAACAAACATGCAAAACCAATTGAGCGCAATAAATTAACATTATCCCTGTTTAATGGAAAATTACCTACTTAGGGGGGCCTCGATCCCCTAGTTTTTCTAGGTCAAGAAAATCAAACCCAGCTGGAGGGGGGTTCTCCTTCCTCCCGACTGTATATCTCGCATGTGTATTCTATCATTTCTCAAATACAATAAAACAATTAATCATGAAAAATTCTGAACAAAATGAAAAAAATAGATAATAATGAAATTAAAAAAATCATGTCTAAACTCATCCTACAAATTAAGAGAAAAAGAGAGAAACAAAACGGTAATGAATGGTGCAAATAGGTTAGATTTGTCATTTTTCCCTCAATATGTGTGTTGAATTTGATCCTAAAATTGGTATATTTAGATTAATCTTGTACCAAATCATCAGTTTTTCTCAAAAAAAAATTCATGATGAACTTAAGGCTTTATTTTTTCTTGGGTAGACTGTAGACATGATGAACTTGAGAGAATTCATAGGAAATTACATGCATGTAGACTAATCAAGGACAGCATGCACATAAGAAGAAAAGATGGGGGTGGCAGTGGGGTTAACGATCGATTGCAAGGAGTAATAACAAGATTATTGGCGGCATAGGAGTATGCAGTAGTGTTTTGCAGCACATGATCATGAATGTGCTGGCTAGCTAGCTAGCTGATCGACTCGCTCCTGGCTCCTGCATGCCATGTGCATGCGGCTCGACTGAGTAAAATTGTACTCCACTAATTAAGATTGATTGTTGTATGGCATCTAGATGTAGAAAATACTTTCTGTCTCCAATAGTATGTTCTTGTTCTCAATTAATCCACATGCATGTACTGTATACTCGCTCGAGCCTAGCAACAAGATGATCGAGTCTCAGTTTCGTTGTTGTTACGTACTGATCAAGGGCCAGTAACCATTCCTGACTAACTAACTTTTATGTATATGTATATGTGATGCATGTTAATTTTCTTTTTTTCAGGGGCGCGATGCATATTATTAATTTTATAGTTCATGATCTATCAATCGTACTCGTACGGAGTACGTATATATTGTCGATGCATGCATTCAGGTGCAGAATTAAAACAATATATTGTCAGGAGGTGCAAAATTAAATTAATTGGTTGATGCATTCATGCATGTATAGCTAGCTAGACTTGTCTATATATATACCGTATGTGCAGAATTGAAGAGCTGGAAAATTAAACATGAATGCATGGAAGAAACAATTAACTACTAGCTAGCGTACTGCAGGGATCACAGATCAATAAACTTGCAGAGATAGATGTTAATGGGTTAATTAGTATCGATCAAACAAACCTGGCTATTGATTAGCAGCAGTACGTCGACCCGGCCGGCGGGGGCTCTAGCTAGCTCTAATTTGTGTCTGTTTTCCCGATCGATGATACTATTAGCTAGCTAGCATCGATCATAGATCGATCTATATATGAACTTGCTAACTAGTAGCTACTATCGATCTCCTGCGATTCATGCAAATGAGATTGTTGTTAGAGAGCTAGGTAGCTTGTTGTTTTTGTGCGGTAGTAGGTAGAAGGTTCAGGTCTGGCCGTGGGTGTGTATAAGCTTAGCTAGCTGGTTGCCAATAAGATCAAGTGAAGCAGCAACCAATAATTGCAGGGAAGGAATTAGGAACACAGTGGAAGAAGGAAGGGATATGCATGCTTTGGTAGATATATAACCCAACCAACCAACCAACCCCAGGAGAGCTGATCGAGGCTGAAAAATGAAGGAATATAAGGAGTATATTACAGATGCAGTACAACAAGCTAGCTAGGAGATGAAACGTGTGGCGTGCCGCCACTGAACGTTGAGGCCCGCGCATCCTCTAGCTTGGAGTTCCTCCTCCGGCCTCCTCTGTACTGCAGCAGTGTATCTGTATGTATGCATGTATCTTCTTCAACTCCTCGATCCATACATATATGATCTGCATCTATCAACAACAAGCATCAAGTGTACGTACTACGTCAATAATTAAGGCCAAGGCTCTCCGTCCATTTTAATTGGGGCCGGCCATTAGAATGGGCCATTGAATTAGTACGGAGTATATCGATTAGTTGGTCACTTTAGCAGACGTCTCATCAGTCAATCGCATCCATCATCATCTCTCTCTCGCTATCTCTCTCTCTCTCTCTCCCACCAAGCTTTTGCTGTACGCGGTAGCTGTTGTTCGAGTGTCAATCCTGCAGCCACGGCAAGGATCAGATATCCTCTGAACTGCACTGCATCGATTAGATGATCAGATATAAGTGGCTATTAACCAAGCAACAATTAATCAATCTTAATTATACATGTGTGTCATGCCGACTAAATTTAGTAACCCCTTTTCTTCTTCCATTGGCCCGCCCTGGATTTTCTATAGGCACCATCTGCTGCCGCCTAACACGTGTGCACAAAATCCACCTCATATATCCTATTTTCTTTTAAAGGAAGGATAAAAGCTTTTTCACTTTTATATTGATAGAGAAGAAGAAAAAACCCTCAAAGCAAAGTAATATTACAGGGCGTAAGTAAGAAAAAAAAAGACACGTAAAAAGGCCAAAGGGGCTACTCTCAGTGGGGGATGATCTCTACGAATTTTTGTTGCTCCCGCCTTGATCCAAGTCCGCACCTCTTCCTTGATCTAGGCGATGATGGTGGTTGGTACGGTTGCTATACGCCAGAATATTTTGGCGTTTCTTTCACACCAAATCTCCCTGTAAAATCAAAGTGTTTTTTATTCTTATTTTATGATGAACAATTGGCATATGTGATTATTGGTTTTGATATTTGGAGATTATTGGCGAAGTGGTTTTGGAGATGATTGGAATTTTTAGGTGATCAACAGGAACTGCTGTTTGTCAGATCCGGTCAGGCCAGGCATGTGTTGCCGGTCAGACCGGCGTATATTAATTGCGTGGTCAGACCGGCCCAGCCTGTGTCGGTGTCGGTTTCGGGTTGTTTGTTTGGATATCCGTGATTGTTTCATGTTTATGGCTTCTAGATGGATACTATGCGTATGTAATACTGTTGTTTGCTAACAATGAGTCAAGTTGGAGATAGCTTGGTCTCGGAATATGGTTTCTTTGTTTGATTCATGTGTAGGTGCGTGACTTGATGCTTCGGGAGAGTATTGCTGGTGATGGACCGTGAGTCGACTTGGGGATAAGGCGATGTCCGTGGTGGTCAGATATCATACGGGATACTTAGGCTAGAGTTCAATGCACGTGGTTGGTGAAGATTCCATATGGCATACGATGGAGGTATTATGTGCATATGGGATACGAAGTCAAATTTAGAAGGAGTCCAAATTTGGTATGATTGGAGTTTGTAAAGTTTGTTTCTTGTAAGAGAAGGTTTCCTAGGTGGATTAGGACTTCTAGTATGAGTTTGGTTTGTAGATTTAGGCTGCTTACCTCATGTATAAATAGAGAGGGAGCGTAAGGCTTCCTGATATCGCTTTTGAGAGCATCGAGTTGATAGTTTAGTTAGGGTTTCGAGTTTAGTCGAGATTTTCGTGAGGAGTGTTGTAGTTGCACTTTGTAAACACAAAGAGAAGAAATAAAATTGTCATCTACTTTGATAGTTCTTCGATTTGTGTTTTCTCGGGTGTAGCGGTCCAACCGGCGGGACACCGGCAGTCAGACCGGCGACATCACGGCGGTTAGACCGCTGCAATCAGACCGGCGTCGGCGTCAGGAGGTTGAGGCGACTTCGGAGCGGTCGGACCGGGCAATCTACATCGGTCAAACCGGCGGCACAGGCGCGGTCAGACCGACGGGACTACTCCGGTCAGACCGATTTACATCGATTCGAGAGTAACTGTCACACCCCAATCTGGTACCGCCGTACAACGGCACCTGACAGGAGCGTGTCGTAGGGGAAAACGGCACGAACCGCTTCCTAAGAAACCGCAATCTCGATACCAGTCCCAGGACATAGTGCTGGTACCCACGGTAACAAATATGAATCATAGCAATCCTTAAAATAAATAGAGGACTTATTTACCTTAACTTAGGTTGCAGCTCAGACAGCCCGAGAATACAACCGACGACACGGACGAGGCGAACACCAACAACAGCAGCAGCAGCGGAACCAACGGTCTAACACCCAACACCACAGGCGATGACTGGGAACCAGGGCGAAACCCTATTCTTCACTTCACTTCATCTTCAACTTCCGGGCGGAGGAACTATATATATATTTATATAGAGCAAAGGTGAGTACTTTCGTACTCAGCAAGTCACGGGAATTTAGGTGTTTAATGCAAGCTTGGAAGAGAGGCAAGGTTGTTTTGCAAATCTTTTATTTGAAGACATTTTGAAATCACTAAGTGATTTATTTCTTTCTAAGTTTGGGCCGAAAAGAGACTCGCGTCTCGATTCGACTTTAAGAGATGTTTTTCAACAGCTTATTTGGTAATGTACCGACCTCCTGGGTCAGATCATTACTTCTCGGCTCCCAGAGCCATTCCACTTGATTAATCGGCTCCCAGAGCCTTTTTCATTTTCTCGGACTCCTAGAGTCCAGCTGCCCAGCAGCACAACAATCCGCTTCCACTCGGGAAGCCTAGACTATGATGCCCATAGACATCCCGAATCACACAGATTCGTTTCTTGACCACTCAGGTCATCCATCTGCCACATAGGCTGATTCTGGTAACGATTCCCACACCACAACAACTTTTCACAAAGCACAGGCAAACAAATCTACGCTACAGGAAACACCTCACATCCGCCCATGACCGCGGGCACGACTGTTCGAACAGTTAGTTAACCTCTGCAGAGGGGGTACACTTTACCCACACGACATTACTAACCCGGATCACCCAGCCCGTGAGATCAGCCACGTCGGGAGACCTTAAGGCTTTCATGACAAGGCATTTCGAAAGCCGACACAGGTTCACCATATGCCAACGAGTGGGGTCCCAGACCAACACCAGATTAGGTCCCAGACCATACTGTGCCAGGAAGCCCAGGGGTCCTCCCCGACACCACCCCGGCGAATCCACATGTCTCTTAGCATCATGGCTCCCCCGATAAGCTAGTTACTCAGCCAGGGGTGTCCCATTGCACCCGTGTGGTCGCACTTGTTATATGCTCGGATGAATTTCCCACAGGAATCGGTCCTTATATGCGAATACGGGACAATGCCACACAGGCACAACCCCCGCATCGCGATTTTTCACAATCCATTTTATTTTCCAACACACCGACGCCACATGTCGGGTTTTCAAGGATTTTCAAACCCATTTCCCAAGTTTTCGACAAACAACGGTGTATGTGGGATATTTGGTATACGCGCTCAGAGAGCACGGATACCGAGGTACCACAAAGGTGGAGCGACAAGGAAATCAGGGTAGTACAACCTACAGCAATTAGTGCGACTACTGGGTAGGTCCGTCGGTTTAGCACGCAAACCGAGGCCAAGCAAGTTAAGTGTGTGATTCTAATAATGCAAGTTGCAAACAAAATAATAATGACTTTTCAATTATAGGGGCAATTGATCAAAGGGTGACTTGCCTTGCTCAAGGTCTTCACGAAGCTTCACGAATCTTCAAGAAAACCCGCGATCGACGAAAATCCGGTAACCGCAACTATACGCAAACAATCGAAAACCTAAACAAAAGACCAAAAGAAAGATCCTATTTAGACTAATTAGTAGTGCCATTAAATAGATCTCAATTTACGGAATTACTGGAAGTTGAACGGAGTCAATCAGAGCCACAGATTGAGAGATATGAATTTTGGAAGTTTAATTAGAATTTCTGGGCAAAGGAAGATATTTGTGGAACAAGGGGAAATTGATTTATGAAATTTATAGAAATAATATTCTCAAGAATATTATTGACCATCACTGATGTGCGGGACCAAGGAAATGATTTATGGAATTTTGGGAATAAGGAATTGATTTATGGAAAAGGGAAAAAAAGGTTTATTAAATCCCTTGAAAAAGAAGGGAGGGATGCCATATAGATTTCCTAGGGCGGCTTAGGCGCGGCCCGAGGGGTTTATGCGGCTTGGCCGGACCTAATGGGCCGGCGCGGGCGCGGGAGGGGCGGCCCAAGAGAGGGGGCGCGGGGAGAGAGAGGCCGACGCGGGTGGACGCGGTCCACCGCGCGGGACCCACATGGCGGTGGTTGGGTTCACGGTGGGGAGGGCGCACGCGGGGGCGGGCGCTAGAGTTTCGGGTGCGCGCGGTTCGGGCGCGGCACGCCGGGTGGACGGATGGCGGCGGGCCCACGTGCAGCCGCACGGCTTGCCGTGGACCGCACGCACGGGAGGGAAGACGGAGGGAGGAGGCTGACTGGGAGCGACTTGACCCAGTCAAGCGGGCCCGGGGCTGAGGTGGCTGCCACGTGGTCAGCCACGCGGGCAGGGGCGAAAGGGGAGGAGGAGGAGGAGGAGGCGCCCGGGATCGGACGGCCGACGACGCGCGAGGCGTTCCGGCGAGCGGCGGCGAACCGGAGCGAGCGGCTACCGCCGGCAGCTAGAGGAGGTCAGGGGGAATCAGTTTAACGGCACGGATTTGAGAGGGGAGGTACGACGGTGGCTGGCGGCGGCGACCAAGCTCGTCGGATCGGGGATGTGCTCGCGCGAGGGAAGGGACAAGGGGGCGCGAACTCGGGCCTAGCCGAAACGGTACGCGACCGCGATGCGCACGCGGGGACGCGGGACCCGATGGTCACCGGCGACGCACGCGCGGCGTTGTTATGTGGCGGCGGAAACGGCGACACGACGTGGAGACAAAGGAGAAGGCCGGCGGCCTTGGGGCAGCCAGGGGGAGGTCAAGGGGATCCCCGGGAGCGTGGTAGCGAGAGGAATCGGAGCGAAAGGAGCCGACGGTGGTGGATTGCGGCGGCGGCCATCACCGGCGGAGAGAAGAGGAAATCTCGCCG